TTAGCAAACAAAATCAAAATGGCTGGTTAGTCAGACGCATCGTGTGTGAACCCTATAAGGCACTTCGAATGCGCGAAAATCAAACTGTCTTTGGTCTTACCTTGCATGTTGCGGCCCAACGAAGCCTGTGTCATGCGCTGAGCTGGCAGTTATTTGAGCATCTGTAATTGCACCAGACTCCATGCCCAGTGGTTGTTTGCATGTAGCTAAAAGAGAAAGAGAAGAACTTATAATTAGAAAAATAAGATACAACATTTTGGTTACAAAAAATGTACTACGAGCTACATGATGGAAATTTATTTATGTAGGTCAGAAAGGAAGACAAAATTTGAATGACAAATGGGTTAAGAAACACAAAGTTGTGTAATAAATAGAAGTGGCGTGGTTTTCAAAAAACAGTTTACTTAGAACATTTTTGGGAAAGAAAAATATTTTTTTTTTAATGTATCTACATTAGGGGTGAATCGCGCTCAATGTGAAAAATCGGTTTTCTTATCCACCACAATATGAAATTTATTATATTTTAAGATTTCCGCCAAAATATTTCGAAAACATATAAATTTATGTGAGCTGAAGCGATTTGAAATTACTTCCACAAATCGGTTTGTTTTTCAACCAAGCCTATAAAAGTAACGAAACTCATACATATGTATAATAAAAGTGTCTGTACATTATAGATATTAAAGTAAGCCTAGTATGGGGTCTTTATTAGAGCAACAGAAGCCAAATCAACAATTTTTAGAATTTTCGTCTGTCTGTCTGTATGCTTGTACGCGCATCACTCGAAAACTAATAAATGGAATTGAATGCAGTTTTCACCAATGCACTGGTAAAGGTCTAATTTAAAATATCGGTAATAAATAATTAGAGAGTTGCCACCTGTCTCAAAGTAACAGTGTAAGTTTATTGATAAGATAAAGTAAATAACGTAGTATGGCTGTCAAAATAAAGAGTTTTTTTGAAGGCCTACAGACAAAAAAATTTTTGTGGAAGATTGCCACCTGTTTGAAAATTTTTACCTGATTGATAAGATAAATTAAATATTTCAATATCGGTATCAAACTAGAGAGATTTAGGAAAGTTAACTGCCAAAAATACTTTTGAGGAGGGTTGCCATCTGTTTGAATTTTTTTTTTAATTATTAAATTGAAAAAATAAGTGAAATATTGCAATATAGGTATAAAACAAAAGAGGTCTAAGAAACTTTGCAAACGAAACTATTTTTTCAGTGGGTTACCACCTATTTGAAAAATTGTATTCAGTTAAAGTGATACGATAAGGTAAATACAGAATTAATGTAGCTTTGAGGAAAGTGCACGGTATATAGAATTGAGTTATACTAGTACAAATTAAATTTCTAGGATCAAATACCTTCGAAAATATAATAACTAATACTCTTATTCATAAAAACTTAAATGTGTTTCATAAATCGAAAATCTGTTTGGAAATCGAACTTCATAAAGCTCTTCAAATCTATATTATTTTTATGAATGAAGCCATACGAATTTTGGGAGGGAGTAGCAACACAAAAATACTTTTGAGGCGCAGTGTAAATAAAATTGATCAGCACACAAAAGAACAAGTTTTTTGTGTGGTTTTTAAAATTAAATTTTCCAAAAAAATTACTTCAGATTATAAATATATTTAAGCTTAAAAGGTCTGTATAAATAAAAAATTTTGTAAAAGGTATTAAAAAGTTATCAACGGATTAAAAAAACTAAGGCTTTTATAGGTACATATTTTCAAATCGGTCTGGCTAATTAAGGCCTAATATTTTGCTTAAATATCTTGGTAGAAGCCTTCGAATATAATAAATTTTATAATTCCGGTTGAATACCGCAACTTTTTTAGATGAGGCGCCCTAATGTATGTAAGTAAGTAAGTAGGGAGTTTTTTCTGAAAACTATGTAAATAAAAAAAAATTACTTACAAAAAACCAGACAGTTATGACAAAGATTTCCAAACACAAAACTGACAGCATTTTACTTTATTTGTCGCTATTTTTGAGAGCTCATTAGTAGCTGTCACTTACAAAAAGTGAGCAATTATCAAAGAAATGAACACAAAAAATGCATGTTCGGGGTACAAAAAAAACAAACACAGAGCGAAGAAATTATTACTATAAAAAAGAGGCACCAAATAAATGAGCAACAACAACCAAAAAAAAACCGCATTTATGTTATAAAAAGGAATGAGTCTGTCAAACGCATACATCAAAACAACTGAAGCGCACCGACAGAGCTGCCGCGCATACAAAAGAACTGATGGCGATTCACAAAAAAAAATAAAAATAAAAAATATCAGTGGGTGTAAAACAAAAAACAAAAAAATGTCGGCACGGCAGCGTTTTTTTCCACTTCCTCAACGTTAAAATTGCAACGAGACAATGCAACGCCACAATTCAATTGAGAGTACAGCTGCTGAAGTGTTAGACTCTCATTGATGATAATTCGAGCTGGTTGCTTGGTGGGTGGATGCATGCGAGAGTCGCTGCTAGAGATTATAATGCAAGGCAGGCCAAGCAGCCACTGTTTATCGGCGGTGTTCGCCTGTTTTTATTTGGCATAACGTTGCGGCAAGAGGACGGAAAATATACATATGTATTTATTTAAACAAATAGAAAAACTTGGCTGCTATCGGACTGAAAAGAGCGACAGAAGAGTAGGAATCGCTGGGAAGCTGCCAGACCGACAATTTGCAGGGAAAGACTGACTGTCAAGTAAAGCGCGCATTTGTTGTTTTTTTGCCTTTTTTCGCCGTGCAAAGTTCAGAGGAAGACAGATGAGCCTTCGAGGAGAGGTGTATTAGTTGTCGTAAGCTTCTCATACAGTAATGCCTTTTCCACCAGATACAGCTGAATTGCAACACATTGTAGCCTTGAGGGTGAACGCATTGAAGAGGCAGAAGCGAGGTCAACGCCGCAGCATCAAATAATTGCACGCGATGTGTAGGAAATGTTGATGCATGTAAGCTTACAGATATGTTTGTATTGCTTCATATGAGCCGCAACACATTGCCTTGACTGCCAGACACTTTTCGCTGCTGTTGCTGCCAATTTACAATAAATTAAAAACAAAAACTTGTTTTACTTTTTTGAAAATCAAAATACTTTTTTCCTCCTCTCTTTTTATTGCAACGCTGGTGGGTGCACATTATTTTAATTTACGCGCCTGTTTTTCTGCCTGCTATGTATCCAAGTTGCAACGTTGCGTTGCACTTATCTCTTTCGACGCTGTACAAGCTTTTACGCTGCTCGAAATTCATTTGTTTGTTTTTTATTTGTACTAGTATGCCCCGTTTGTATTTATGTCAACGTAATTTTTTTAGTTTTTTTTTTCGTTAAGTGAATGTAAATGAATGCCCTGTTTCGCGCGCGACAGTCTTTCTCAGGCAGTTTTTTTTTTGTACTTGCATCTTCGTGCAACCAACTAAGCTGCTGCATTTGCTTGTGTCTTTTGCTATTTTGAGTTTTTTCGTGTACTGTGTTTAGACTTGCACATGTTCACACATACATACGTACACTAGTTCGCTTTTGTGTCGCTTTAATAAATTTTTGTGTCAAATTTTTAATGAGTTGTGCTTTCACATTTGTCTCCTAGTTTCACAAATGCCGTACACTGTAATGCAATTTTTCAATTAATGAGCGGCAACTGGCATAGAAGAAGAGTTGAGGTTGTAGTAATTATGCATAGAAAATTGTCTGCACGTGAAAATAATGGGCAGATATTTTTTTTTTTGAGTTCAAAAATAAGGCAACGCTCTTATAAAAATCGTTTCAAAATTATTATAAATCATCTTTTTTCGTTTATAATAAATACATACATAATACCTCGATGTAATATTTCAATAAACTAATTAACTCGTAAAATTTTCTTTTAAAACAGATGGCAACCCTTTTCAAAAATAAATTCTTTAATTCTTCCGTTTAACACTTACATATATTACAAATCTTCATATATCGACTAATTCAATTGAACTAGAATTTTTAAACTGGTGGCCGTGCTGTCTTATAAATAAAGTTAACTTTATTGGTGCAGTCCCGTATTCCTCGAACTAAAACTCGTAAAACTGTCAAAAAATAAAAATTCGCTCAGAGCGAGAGAGTAACATTGAAAAGTACGGGATCGCTTTCTAATAAAAAATGGTTCCTTCTGTCAACTTCAACATAACCTCCAAGTTTCGGTTGTAAATTTTTGCTTATTTTCTATGTAAACACAAATTCAGCGCACACATGTAAATAACCAAAAATTCTTTCAAATTCATTAGAATCCACTTAAACAAGTAATTAAATACTTTTCAACATGAATTAGCACAGTGCACTTTTCTTTTGCTTACAATCTGGTTGCCAAACACACTACAGCTGATCGTTTGACACATTTACAAGAATTTACCAGCAAAAAATTCTCGGACTAAAATTAGTAACTTCTGACAGAGATAAAACCGTATTTACTCTCCTTTTTGTCCTCTCAATGGTCAGAGAACCGAGTACGGGATCGCTTTCCAGTAAAATCTGACTGATTCTGACTATTTCTGACCAGTCCGGACTCGTACGGGATCGCAACTTATATTAAAATATTTAATTCGAATAGTCAGTTAAATTGATTCGAAATTACTAACAGGTGACAACCCTCTTCAAAAATTTGCTAGAAATAAAGCGTCTTAAACTTCTATCGTTACCCATATTAAAATATTTAATTTAATTTGTTGTAATTATTTAAACAAGTGGCAACCATCTTCAAAAAAATTACAAAAAAAAGCTTTCTTTAACCTCTTTCGTGTGATACCCATATTGAAAAAATTCGTTGAGCTAGTAAATGAATAGACTGTGAACTTCCAAACAGGTGCCAACTTTACTCAAAGATATGTTTGCAATAAAGCTTTGTTACACTCAACTCGTTTGACTCCCGGATTAAAACATGTAATTTGCTTGTTAATTTAATTGGTTTTGAATTTTTAAATAGGTGGCAACACTCGTCAAAAATATTTTCAAAATAAAACTCTCTTCTCGATATCCATATATTTAAAGCTATTTCATTTAACTTGTAAATTAAATTGAGTATTCATTTCTAAAACGGTGGCAACTCTCTTCAAAAATATTCACGAAATAAAGCTCTCTTAAATCTCTCTGTATCTTTATAATTTTAGTATGATTAAAAATGACTGCTAGTGTAAAATATGTCTTTATTTATTATTTGTTGTATTTAAT